TGTGTGTGTGCGTGTGCGCGCGTGTGTGTATGCGTTGGGTGTACGTGTTTTTAAGAAGGAAGGAAAGAAGGTGATGATGTTTGCCTGTCTCTCGATCGCCCCTAGGGTTCCTCTAGACCGTGAGAGCGAGTGTTTGCCAGTCTCGTTATTACTCCGGACAGCTGCACAGTGGTTGGCCCGATTGTTGTTTGATAAGACAATTGGGGACATTTTGTTTTTGATTTATACAGGGACAACAGGGGAATATTGGGTTAAAAGAGGGGGGTGACATTTTGTGTCTTGACAGACTATCAGAAAGCAGTAGGCATGACATGTCAACACAGCTTTGCCTGAGTGATAGACACAGAGGAAGTAGATTGTCCAAGTACTACTTCCTCCCTTCAGACCTTGACTTCGAGGGCCTCCAAGTCCCAGTTAACTTTGGTACGTCATATTTTTCCAAGTTTACAGGAGAGGCAAAAAAAAGCACCCCGGATTTTCTTGAAGCGTTTTGGGTGGATAAACTTCATTTTCATAAGGGAGCCTAATGTCTGTCACGGCATTTGTAGGTCCCCTTATAGGAATAAAGTTTATTCACCCAAAACCACGCTTCAAGAAAATCCGGGTTTTTTTTGGTCTCTCCTGTAAAAATTGGAAAAACATGACTTACCATAGTTTACTTGGTGGCCCTCAAAATGTAAAGGAAAACATGTTTTTGTAAATATCAAACACGCGTTGCTTGTAGAGGTTACGTATATACGGATACCCGCTAAAGATCAGTCAGTGATCATTGTACGGACGCCTCCAACCACAACGACAGGGGTAGAGAAACTTTGATTCCCAGGAGTCTCTTCGTTTGGGTCAATGTCCGTTAAGGAATATAGAAATGGACTTTATACACCCACATCCCTCTCAGCCTTGCCAAAGAGAGATGTATGAGAGATGTATGCAGTGGGATTGATATTGAGAGATCAAACCGGAAGAGTGCAGTAAAAGTAACTTTTTGCAACCCCCCCCCCCACCTTAAAAAAATAAGTATACACATTTTAATAAATGATTTTAAAAGTCCAAAAACGAGTCAATCTAAACGCGTCTTTTGCTCATGGGTTACGGTGACCCAAATGTAGCCGAACAGATGTGCGCACTAGATCCAATAGACCAAAGGGTGGGTTAATGTTTTGGTGTTTTTTTTTCATCCAAAGCGCTTCTCTTATGTCTGATGTCTTCACATGAAATGGTGGTTATAAAAACCCAGCAATGACCACTTATAAACAATATGTTCTGACGGTCCGGCCTAAGTCCAATCGCAATAAACATCTGGTGAGCGCACAGACACAGACTCGTCATTGGTCTCCTGAAACTGATTGAGAGTCGTTAACGCTCAGAAAATAATTTGCTTTTTTAAAACGCTATTATCCTCTGCTGACGTTGAGCGTTGAGGGGGCGCTTTGTTGTTACTTCAATCAAGATGTTATAGTTTCTGAGGCCTCCCATGACTCCCGGAATCCATCTTTTTCGTGATCTATCTCTTCCTTCATAGCCTGAGTGCTTGGTGTTGCAGTCAAATTGAAAATTCAGACGTCGAAACGAGGTCAGCGAACTATGAACTGATTTTGACAGTTCGTATTATTAATACCCCCCCCCCTTCCCCTGCTTGCCACCATATTTTTCCTCACCACGTCCCGTCCTCCCATTTCTCAATTACTCACACAAAACAAAAATCTAATGCATGAAAGGGGGGAAATCAGGTCAGAGATGTCTGTCCATCTTTTAAAAAGTCAGAACGTAATTTATTTATGTGACACCTCCTTCAAACGCGATTTATCTTTTGACTTTTGTCTACGTCAACGCAGACGTCCGGAAGGTGACATCATCACGCCAGACCTGGGCAGGGCGCAGTGGACATCCCAGGGAGAGACGGACCCTGAGAATCCCGGGATACTTCTCTCTTCTCTCCCTTATCGGCGCAGTTCCTCTCCCTGAGGGAGCCCCGAGCTTCGCCGGCCCAGCCCGAGAAATGATATGTGTCACGATATGGTAGAATCAGGTGCTCGTCAATGTTTGGGCTTGTGGAGCAATTGGTATCGTCTTAAAACGTGTTCATTAATGTTGTCTTGCTTTTGAGGAAAAAATACCCACCTATTTTGAATTGAAGTCGAGGTGTTTGCGATTGAAGAAGGTGGGAGTCACCTGGTTTCAGAGGTAAAATTAACGAGAAAATGACAGTAAAGGTTTGGTGACTACCATGGCTTGGAGGTCCTTAGAACCTGAAAATTTAC